GAAACACTGGTGTGTTAGCAACACCTTTCTAGATACCAATACAAACCACAGCACTCTGAGGGCTGCTGTGGGGAGAATTAACTCCATCTCAGCCAGACCCAATACATGTCGTTATTAAAAGCCTTCATTTAGCGATGGGTAATGTAGATGAGGAGTGGTGTGAGGGGAGAACTAGGAACTGGTGTGGGAGGTCAGTATTTAATAGGTGCCTCTGACTTGTGCATTAAACCCAATTCTATTTAAACAAGCAGCGGTGAAACAAGTGTTGTATGAACATCAGCTTAGATGTATGTAACAGAGTATTTCTGTTTTCTTGCTTTGTTCTCTCCAGAAATGTTCCGTGGTGGAATAGGAGGAAACATGGACAGAGACTTTGGTCGTAGTGACATGGCATTGAACCGTGGTTTCGGAGATTCTTTTGGAAGGATGGGTATGGTAACTGTTAAATTTCCTGTGGCAAATTGCAGCATAGTATTGGAAGAGTTTTACTAGAAGAGACCTGGTTTCATTTGATCATCATCTTCTGTCCCCTCTTCCCCAGTCACTACTAGAAGGCTGTAATCTGAGTATTTATTACAGCCATTGTTTAGGACAGAGCTTAAAGTGTGGGGTTTTTTTTCTGTCTGTACAATATAAACAAAATAACAATTTGAAGAAAGCATTTAGCTTCATACTGTTAACTTTGTGAGGTATTAAGTCTTTTGGGTATTAATATATATGCTGCTGGCAATCATGAAGAATTTGGCCACGTACCACCTTTGTAACTTTCAGGAGCCTGTTTTTGCAAATGCATGCTGGAAAATTAATTGTTTTTACTGCAAATTTGGGAGCACTGGATGGGAGTGGTGAATTTTGGTGCCCTCGGTTTTCTTCCTGCCTCTGAACTCAAGCAGCTTGGAATGGGATTGATTGGCTTCTTCTGTAAATGAGCCAGCTTTGTTTTGTTTATGGCTGATGTCTTGTTGACAGAGTTCATTTTGCTACTTTTGGATTCCTTCAAATGAGATACACATAATAACTTTTTTTTTTTTTCTGTTTAGGTGGTGCAATGATTGGTGTTTTTGCAGGAGGAATGGGAGCGCCTGGCATGGGCCCAGTAAGATCTGGAATGAGTAGGTTAACTTGTTTCAATAGAATGTAAATGCATAGGCAATGTAGTGATATTATGGTGCACATGTAATTGTATCAGAGGATTTTGTTGTAGCGTAGTGTCTTGTCAGTGTTGGAAGAAGGAGAATTCTGTTGCATGTGACTGGAAGTCTAATAGTTTTTAGGTAAAAGTTTTTTGTTGAGGTAAAAGTTCAGAGGAAAACTTGCTACTACAGTCTTTCCCTTAGTTTTGAAATGGTTTTAACTTCTGGTTTGGAGGGAGAAGTGATTCAAGTAAACTTGTGTTCCAGAAAAGACGAACACGCACAGATATTTGTGTGAACTTCATGAAGCTGAACTTCAGTATCTCTCATCATTGAAATAAAAAAAATCAGCCTTGAATTTCAGATTATCACTCAATTTAATTTTGTGCAAAGCTCCAGCAAATGTCCAAGTTCCTCAGGCTAGAGCAGATGAGAAGCTAAAATCTTGCTAGAGGCAACCCTGAGAGGCATAAGGCTTAAAGAGAAGGTCCCTCATAAATGATCTTGGTAGTTTTGCTTTACGTTAATTTTTAATCATGAATCCAGAAAGATTATAAAAGATATTTGAATGCCAATGATCTTAGTTCTTTATATAATATATACATTAATAGACTTCCTGTCATGTATCATAGGAAAGTCCATGCTTTTGCAGTAACATCTGTTTTTTGCAAAATATGCTTTCCCTAGAAGATTGTGTCATTAAGTGTGGATATGGCTGCATTAAGTAAAGCTGAATGTGAGCACAGGAAGCAAAATAAACAATAGTGTATCTAGTCAAATTATCTGTATCTTAACATTGCCACAGTTAGTTACTTGATGTCTTTTTGGTATAGGGTATCAGATTTTTATTAATTAAACTGGGCATACTTTTATTCTTGTGTACAACATTTTACTACATTAGATAGTGTGACTAATAGCTTGATGCAGTTTGTTGTTTGCTTTTATTTTTAGAACTGACGCTTTGTATCTTCTAATACTTTGCCTTAAAATAATAGCCATACTACTAGATAACTTCATACATGCACGGTGATTTATGTTTTATATTATAGCAGTTTTATTAAAGTTATTTTTCTCCTGACGCAAAAGAATTTTTTTTTACAAAATAATTGTGTGATTATTACTAAAAAGAGATTTTTATTTTATCCTTCTTTTCTTTCTCTGTGTAGGTGGTGGAATGGGTGGCATGAACAGTATGGCTGGAGGAATGGGAATGGGGATGGATCGGATGAGTTCTGGTTTTGATCGAATGGGACCAGCCATGGGTGGAGGCCTAGACAGGAACATCGATATTGATCGAGGATTTGTGCCTGGCCCGATGGGAAGTGGCATGAGAGAGAGACTAGGCTCTAAAGGCAACCAGATATTTGTGAGAAATGTAAGCATTTGAATACATAGAAACGGTGAGCTGATTTTGTGTGCGTGTTTGATTACATGCTCTTTTTCTCTTTGTAATGTTTTTGTTATTAATGCTTTTTTAATTCTAGCTTCCTTTTGACTTGACCTGGCAGAAGTTAAAGGAGAAATTCAGTCAGTGCGGTATGTATATGAATCTTATGCCTGCTCAGCTCCATCGACTACATGTTTTATATGGTGTTTGTTAGATCAGGACAAGAAGACAAGGTTGTTGTCTTATCCTGAAGAGTTGGGCTAGCCTAATCTTTCTTACTTCCCCCAGCTTCCCTAATAGAGACTTTAGGCATGACATAACACATGAGATCAAGGGCTGCGTTGGCTCTTGAGTACTTATTGACTATAAACTTTAACCCATTCCATTAGTAAGATCACTCTTTGAGCTTTTTCTTTTCTGAAGCAGGCATTATGTATCCTCTAGCCAGCACAGTGTATCATGTAGCATTTATTTTGAGAGAAATGCATGCAGAGGCCTGGGCTTGTCTGGGTTATGCATTGCTTCCAGAAATGGTGCTGCATCACATTAGAGTTAGTAATTTGCCAAAGCGGCAGATTGTTTTTCATGCAAATAGATGATCCTGACTACTGTATTTGCAGGCTGTAATGCTTCCCCTTTATGTTAAGAGATAAAGGCCCTTTTTATGTAAGATAAAGGATTTCTATGAATATCCAATAATTCCTTTTATCTAATTCAGAAAAGTTGTCTTTTCACAGAAGTGAGTGAAAAATGAAGCCTGGGTGTAGAAATATCTGATTGTTTTGTTTTGAAAATGCACTTTCAGAATGGAAAGCTTTAACTGAATTACAGGATGGCTTTTCTTAAGTTGGAGAGACAGAAAAGACAAATAATTTAAAACATGCTACTTATACCTAAGACAGTTTTCATACAGCTGTTTGCAGATTTGATATAAATTAGAACTCACAGTTCAACTATGAAAAATTTTTAGGTGTTCACATTTATTTCTTTTTTGTAGCTGGAGGATATTGCAAAACAGGTTCTCTCTCTTTAAGTCCTTACTGCCTGGGCAACTTTAAGATAGTTCAGAATTTTTTTTCATTGTCTCCTTGGCAACTAACAGATGTAGTAATTATGTTTAATTGCTTTTAAGAATTATAAGCACAAATATAAGCAACAGATTGTATTCACACCAGTATCATAAGGAAATATAAAGACCATATCTCCATATGTTTGATTTCTTTCAGTGAAAGGCCAATCCTGTATGATATTTAAAAACAAAAAGCTGTGCCTTTTAGGGAAAAGTTTCTTGTTCTTAGTGCCATTTGAGGGCTTAGGAGTGGTGTACTACAATGTACCATAAGCAAAAATTCATGAGCTCCAGGCACTGAACATTCTCTGAGGTACCAAGACACCTACGTAAAAATATTGTCTCATGAGTTGAGTGTCCAGCCTTAAGAAAACACTGCAGGATTGAATAGTGCATGCTACTTTTCCACCACTCCTAACCTGGTAACTTTACTGTTTTAAAGGCTCTAATTGCGGCTTCTTTACAAAATTGCTTGATTGTTGTGATTGCTTGATATGTTGCTGTGATGAACATGGACTGAATTGAACTGTAATTCAGTTAATAGTGCCTGTCAGTAGTCACAGTTCTGGTGGTGTCAGTAAATGAAACGCAAAAACTTTCCCTTAGCTTTATAAGGCACTTTGTCTCAAACTTAAGGTCACATACAGGCATACTTCATCTTGTGCTAGTGTGAAGGAAAAATTTGAAACAGTGGATCTTAATTTGGGTTCTTCACTGCTGTTTTGACCTGTGTCACCTTCCCTGAATGAGTTACTATACCATTGTCTGAAAGTGCTAATTTCATATATCCCCCTAGATTATATTTAAAAATGCTTTTTTTTTTTTAATCACTTCTGATGAGTTAAGTTGTTAGTGCACTGAAGACTTGAAGTAACTGCTGTTTAACTTATTTATTCAGGTCATGTAATGTTTGCAGAAATAAAAATGGAGAATGGAAAATCAAAGGGCTGTGGAACAGTCAGATTTGACTCACCAGAATCTGCTGAAAAGGCCTGTAGGATAATGAACGGCATAAAAATCAGTGGCAGAGAAATTGATGTACGCTTGGATCGCAATGCATAATTTAAAACTGTGTGTTCAGGAACATTCCTATGTTTGTTTAGCTTCTCTATCCTAGTAAGTCATTTTTAGTAACATTGTATGCTTACAAAAGCTGTAAAAAGGAACTTTTAAATCCCACCAGCCTTTAACAGTATAGTGTTTAATATACTGTGATACTTGTTAACTGAATCTTACTATGTTTGGTTTTTAAAGACAATTTGCCTGATTTTTGTTGTTTTTTTTTAGAGGCTCTGAGCACCTGCAGGTCCCTGTAGGCCATGGAAGCTTTGGATGCTCAGGGCCTTTGGAAAATTAGGCCAAGTGTCTCTAGTCATTCAGTTTAAATGAATGGTTATACTGTTTTTAATAAAATAAGCCATTTTCTCTGTTAATCTCAAGATTGCATAGTGGGATTTGTTTAGTGTTTTCTGATATTCCCCCCCCTTCAGCGTGTATCAACATTGTAATGTAAAAACTAGATGTCTCTTTTTCAGAATTTTGGTTTTGTATGTGCATTGTGGTCATACTGTAATTCTTGACTCTAAAAGAAAGGGCTCCAATTAGGCTGTGATGTTTTCGTTCTACTTAATATTACTTTAATGACATGACTTAGTTCTGTAAATAAGATTTAGAGCCCAATAGGAGTTTTGAATTTTTTTTTTTTTATTTTGACTAAATGAAGAAACTGATCTTTCTCTCCTGCTTTTATTTTTTCCATCAGTATAATCACTGATTAAAACTAGGTACCACAGACCCTTGTAGGATTGTTCCCTATGATGCCAAGTTCATATAAAATTGATAATATAGTAAATACTAAGTACAGTACAAGACATATTGCTCCAAATTTTTTATCTATTTTCCAGCCATTCAGGTGAACTGCCAGAAAAACAAAAACAATGGAACACATAAGAGAAATGGCTGTATATGTCAAACCATTGCTGTTCACTTCTATGGGTCCTGATGTATTGATGAAGGCAGTTTTTATAAACCAGGGTATTCCCAAACAGAGCATATCAAATACATTGGATCCTACAATGTTAGACATAGCCATATCTCCATTTCCTGTAAAAGAAGAAATACAAATAAGTCTGCTTAATTGTATTGTATGAAATTGCCAAACTGTTTTGGAGGAACAGACTGTCAGCCCTCAGTTTTTCACAGAGCACCCTTTTCAGACTTTTCATTGAAAGAGCTATAGTCATGATTCTACAGAACATGGTTGTGCATACCACAAGCATAAAAAAGAGTGTCCCTAAATCACCAGCATCTGCACAGTTGCACTTAAAATAAGCTAGACAGGCTATTGTAAAATCCAGTCATGTCTAAAATACCAAGAACTACAGTTGTGTTTTGCAGTAAAACTGTAACACTTGATCAACAACAAATCAAACCAATCTAGAATACTTCTCTGAGATACTTTGAAAGGTTTTTAAATGTCTGAGCCACAGCTTCTTCAGGTAAGCTATTTATTTATTATTAGTAAACTTAAGCTGTAGAATCTGGAGCAAAAATTTCCAGAAATTCAATGAGCAACTTCAAAATGTTGACTAGAGTTCTTTTTTCATAGTACCTTTTAAACACATCCATTGGCATGAGCCTGAATACTAAAATCTTTACCTTTTCGAGCCACCAGCACACTTGCAACTGTATCTGGTACACTTGTTCCTGCTGCTAGTAATGTGAGACCCATTACTGACTCTGGAATTCCCAGTGTGTCACCTGCAGTTGATAAATAATGGTAGAAAATGCAAGTACATTTTTAGTTTAAGTTTCATCCAAAGAAATTACTTTGGACTTTGTTTGCTGGAGGAAGAATTAGTAATCATACTGTAATTTCAAAAGGAATCTGTCAGCTAACTTGACTAAATATGAAGTGACTGAACCATGAAGTAGTTAGTAACAAGTTTCTCAAACCTGAGTGGAATGTCTCCAGTGGTCAAGACAATACCAATAATGCATTTTTTCTTTCAGATACAGTAGAAGTTTAAATAACTTTTTTCCCCCTTTTTTTTCCCCCCCCCCCCCCCAAATTCTAGAAAATCTAATAGTCTTATGTTTTTGGGCATCTCATGATTAGTGTTCAAAGTCTCATGAAGCAATAACTCTTACAATCACCCTCTTTAAAGGGGGAGGGGAAAAAAGCACATTAATTTTCTTGGGGAGGAGGGGTCATTAAGATCATTACTACAATACTGTCTCAACTACATGGCTTCACCATTTCACTCCAATTAGAAAGTTATTTTGTTGGATTCAGAAGAATCAAAATGTAGAATTTTTATGACCTGTAATTGCAAGTAATCCTTCAGAAGTGTGAGTTTCTCTAAGTAAATACTGGTTTAAATTAAGAAATGTTTGAAATTTTTACTTAAACCAGCAGCTTATTTTGAGCATATTATTTTGCACTTAAAATACAGGGATTCAGATCTTTAAAACTGTTTTAGCACTTGTACCATTCACAAACATCAACATGCTGAAGTGTTCGATACTTCTATTCAAACTATTAAGTAATTAGTTTTTATTAAACTTTTTTTTATCCACTAAAAAGTTTTTTTGGTTTTGGGTTGGGTTTTTTTTTTTAAATCTGAATTCTTACTTGCAATATTTGGACACCAATAAGAACAGTTTTCTTAAAATAAGAGGCAGTACTCTTTAAGCTAGGTCAGCAGTGCTTGCCTAGTACATCCCAGCTTAGTCTAGATCAGCCCAGTTAATTTATATTTGAAACTGTTGGTTCAGAGGGACTAACATGGTCCTGTTGCAGGATTTGTAGTGGTATTTACTCTTCCATCACTCCTAATGTAAGAGATTTTTAGGATGAGGGACCAACAAGATCAGCTTTTATAAACCATCCAGGCTGGAAAATAATGGTTCATGTCAAGCAAACCAAGGTGAAATACAAACGAACCAGCCTTATGTACCCAGCAGTAGTCTCTAGCCCTCTTAAAGATTATAAGATAGAGTCTAAACTCAGGTGAATCTATTTTTTCTTTTTATTAGTTAGATTTTATCTTCTGTTTAATGTGCAGGGTTTCTTTCTGGCAACTGACCATAGAGAGAGAATGGTCTTATTTTTCTAGCCTTTAGTTAATTTTGTGTATCAGTAGCGCAGTATCTTGCTATAAGTGGTCAAATGTCTTTTTTTTTTTTTTTTTTTTTTGCTAGCAACAAAAAGGTGTACTGTTAGGTTTGTTCTTGACCATCAAAATTTAGTCCCCAGCTATGATACCTCTGTGACATCCCAGTGGGCTCTTTATACAATGATAGAATCTTGGAGTCACACTTCATGGAAGAACCTGGACTTGAATGCAATGTGTGTGTGAGATTTTTAGCGTTTTAATGTGTAAATAGAACCTATCTGACCTAGAAGTAGCGGGCCAAAGACCCCAGTACTGCTTGTGATGACTCTTCAAAGTGGACTAACAGGAATACACTATTTGAATCTCCAGTGTACCTGCTTTCATATGAATTGGTGCTTTGTCTAGTAGAACAGCAATAACTTTCATTTGAATCCTGTTTCAAAGGCTTTTAGCGTTCAGACAGTAACCCCTTGCTCTTTAGATAAAAGTGGAAAATTATTTGACCAAGGCGTGAACCTGGTGAGTGTTATATCCAACCATCTACTAGTAATTTCTCAAAGGTTTACCAACTGTGTAGGGCTGTTTTTGCCCTGAACAAGGAGTTATTCATTGAACTTAAGTTGGAAAACAAGTTTAGGATGCTGAACTAGCAGAATACTTGAGTAGGATTAGTGATCTATAATGTGGAAACGGCAGGCTTTAACATTTCTTTCTTCTTTAGAGATTTGTTTTCTGCTTGTTCTTAAAATCTGGATTTTTCTCAAGCTGACTAAAGAAACAGTGAAATGAGAAGACCTTTAATACCTTAAAATATTTTTAAGAGAATATTTTTACACAGAAGTTCCTTTGGCTCACTTAAATGCAATTCTTTTACTGCTTCACTTTATGATGCAGATTTGTAAGAGGTATACATACACACACACCAAGAATGTTTTAATAAAAACATGATGCTATAGTTGAAATAAAATAGTATAAAAATGTGGGGTTTTTTTGTTTTGTTTTTTCCAGTTAATTTAATGCCACATCTCTTACTGTAGTGTTCAAGAAAAATACAGGTGTAGAAATAATGGGTCTTTTACAGAACCCTGAACTTTTAATTCCAGTCTTGGTGGATTCCATGTTCATCAGACTTCAGCTTGACAAGTTTATTGCTGTGTAATTGTTTCAGTTCATGAAGCAGTTTGATGAAACTGTCTCTTTTTAAGTATAGGCTGTTTTTTCTAGCTATGTAAACAAATTCTCATTCATGTGATGGCAAGCAGTTTGGAGCTGCTAAACTCTCAAGTAGTTTTCATTAGATGGAAGAAGGTGTCAAACTAAGCAGTCAAACAAGTTTTTGTTGGTTTTGTTGGGTTTTTTTTACAGCAAAGTATGTGTTGCTAAACTGACTGTTAATTGTGGAAAGGAAAATGCTTCACAGGGAGAAAACTGTTTTTTCCAGTGATTCTCAACTGATTGATTCTGTATAGCAGCAGCACTTTAGGTACCTACCTGCTATTGTTACCATCCATACAAGAACATAAGTTATTGCAGAAATCCATGCTGCTGAAATTAAAAACGTCACCATGAACCAGTTCCTCCAAAACTGTCTTCTGCAATCTGGTATAGTCAAATAGAGCAGTGTAATAATAGGAAGGGATAGCACCCACAAAATTCTCTTCATATCTGCTTCTGGCATGGTAAAGACATGTGGATGATCTGTTCAAGAAAAAGTAACTATTTTAAATTGTAGCATTAAGTTTGAATCCATAGGATACAGTCATATTACTGGCCTCTACTTGTGCGAATACTGAAAAAAGGTAAAAAAATACTTCCTCAAGTTCTAGCTGTAGTCTTACCCAGTACTTGTGTCACACTGGCCAAAAGGAGAGAACTAAGATTAAAAAAAAAAAGAATTTTTCTATAAAGGTTTACACAAAACATTTATCAAGAGTACCAACTGCTGTTTTTTGTCTAAGTGAAGAGGAAATTGATGATCTGGGGCCATGTCAGAGCTATTCCTTTACTTCAAATGTAATATATTTTGGGCTATGAACCTGCTATTGTCATAAGAAAACAGTATATATCAGTACAGTGCCAGTGTGTCTTTTCAGCTGATGCTACATTTTACAAGCAGCGTTGCTGGGAAGTTTCAAATCTGCAAAGCAAAGACTGATGGAAGTCTGCTGTTCTAATGTGACACAAATGAGCAACTATCCCAGCATTCCTCTAGCAACTAACTTCATATAAATACCACCATTCTGATTTTGCTTAATGTAATATTTCAGGGAAGAATAATAATTTACTTATATACTATAGTGGAGTTATTTTGTGAACAAAATCTTAATAGTATCTCAAAGTATCTCTTTATTAGAACAGACAGGCATGCAGAGTGCAAGAGACAACTGTAATATACCTTCAGAGATTTCATCAAGCCCGTGCAAGCTTGTTGAAAGTTGAGAGTAGTCCAGCTCATCTTGAAAAATTCCACTATCTGTTCTTGACTGTTGACGAATTAGAGGTCCACTCTCTTCCTGCCATCCAACCAGTGGCTGCTGCTCAGCATTTTCTTCCATAGCTTTTGTAAAACACGCACAGCAGGGACTGAACTTTTTCATGAGGTATTGGTTGATTTTAATGTCAAAACATAGCACCAGAATATAACACCCATATATCAATAATAAGGATGCACTTTCATACCTAGAATGAAAAGCAGTTTTTCACATAACATGTAATACTAAAAAACCCAACTTTTGAATTGTTAAATTGGCTGGTGTAAGGGTAGAAAGAGGAAGAGAAAAAATAAATGGCATGAGTAGCTAAAGGAAAACACACAAAAGCATCTGTCTGCCAGCGCTTGGGAGTTCATGAGTGTCTCCCAGTCTTTTAGCAGTTTAATTAATTCCTCTCCCCTGCAGAATCTTGTTTGTGTACTATACAGCTGCATGTTTTTGAGGGGATTGTACTGAATGAACATCTTCGTGATGTTTGCAAAATTGAGTCTTCATGTGACGGTTAATGACAGGGATGGTATGTGCTATTGTGAGTAAGAAACTTCAGAGACTTAGTGCTGGACCTGACTGACTTGTTGAGGCAGCAGGAGTTTCAGTGTTGAAAGAAGAGAGTTAAACATCAGAAGCTTATGATCTGCTTCTGGCAGATAAATGTTTTTCTTAACAGTGATGCTGTTAAAGGAAAGGCTCAAAACTATGAATGAAGACTAGTTGCTATGCCAAAACAGTGATGATAGAAATTGTGAAGTCTGTACTGACAAACCTATGCAGATCAAACTTTACAAATATGCAGGGTTTGAATGTTTAGGTAATAATCTTTACAAGTATTGTGACTTTCTATGTTTTTAAAAGCCAATAGGATGTTTATTTCTGTTAGTGAATGGCAGTTCAGGTTACTTGAAGTTTAGGTTTGGGGGTTTTTTTGTTTCTTTTTTCACTGCCTCACTAATCTCCAGTCAACATGAATTCAACACTAAATGTGCTCTTACCAGTAAATCCTGTTGTCAGATATCATCGCAAGGACTGCCGCTACACTAACAGTATATGCCAGACAGTCTCTAAACAGTGGCCAACAGGACAGCCTCGAAACCTGTAGATCACAGATTAATTTACTTTTCTTAAACTTGTCTGTAATACTTTCACTAAGAGCTGTAAATGCTGCATCAATATGTTGTTTCTACATTATGTAAAAAGATTCTTAGGAATGACTTAGGTATGATATTTAACAAGTTAGTGTTTCTAAAAACTTTCATAGCAAGTTATCTTAAAACTGATTACATGCTGGTTTTGCTACTGAATAATAAACTTGACAGTTGTCATAGTAAGT